TGGTCAACATGACCATGCCTATGGGTAACATGACCATACCTATGGTTAACATGACCATGCCCCTGGTAAACTCGACCATAACCGAAATTGGCAATATTATAAGTTTCTTCAACAACACCATGCACTCTAACATCTCCATGCCACTTACTGACGCAATAATACACACGGCCAACCTTACCGTGAGTGAAATCAATTCGACCATACCGCATCTCAACATCTCGCTACCCTTTGTAGAACCCATCGTAGCAGGGCTCAACTCAACTATGACACATCTTGACATCACTAATCCATTGCAGAAGATACAAGGATGAATTGCACAAGTGTAACGTTGGAAGTTAAATATTGAATAAATCATTGTTTATATTGTTTTTTTTTCGTATTGCGTTAGTTTTGAGAAGAAAAGAATGTTTTTTTTTCATAGGAAAGCAACAAGGAACCTTGAAAAGTATGCGAGGGGTACCACTGGCTAAAGCGAAGGAAGCTCTACAAGGTTTGTTTTTTGAAGATTGGCAGAACGTGATTTACGCAAAGTTTGAAGTAAGAACGTAAAAGCAACTTATGATGCCAAATTATTTGTTCCTGCATATAACAGACACACGCAATTATCCATAGGTAAACTTGCAATATTTTCCGTGCTCAAAAATTCAACATATAAGTGGAAAACAATAGGGCAAATCGCCTCAAGTAGTGCTGGGCCTCTCCCATATATGCCATTCTACACTACAAACTTTCGCAACTCTAAGATTATGGCCATCGATATGCTTTTCCCTATCAATTTTTGCAAAAAAAAAGCCGTAAGAAGCGATATATTCTTTCCAACTAATATGTTGCAGTCGCTGGAACTGGGTAAGCTTCTTGACTACCTGAAGACATGTAAGCTATCACTATATAAGCAAAAATTTCGAAATTTCTCGAAAACCGGGTTTCTGTGGAGTCTTCTTATCTCTCGCCACCTCGTCGATTTTCATGAAAAAGAGGAGAAGTGATTATTATCACTTACCTAAGCAGTCTCAGGAGATTTTTTTTGTGTTTTAACGTACAGAAAGCTCTGGATATTTAATGAATTAGTAATGCATGCTCCTTGTAAAAAAGTATCCGATTGTTTTTTTCTAGATTTTGACAGATGAAAGAAAATCTCTGCAGGTTAAATTTCATCTGCATTCTTCAATTCGTAACAACATTTGAAGCATTCGTATTGTAGAACACGCTACCATCGATCCAAAACCTTTTTTATGTCGAAAAATCTTGCAAATCC